GTTGAATTTGGATGCGAATCCGAAAAAGTATATTATAGAACGCCATGAAAATATGTAATATGGAACGCCATTGATACCAACCTCAATTTTTTTTAAAGCATTTTGACTGATTAAGACGACGTTTAGGGACTGACTTGAACCTAGTCTACCATTGTGGGTGCTCTGAACCGTTGAGATCTTTTGGAGCCCGGTTCTATTTCATCCGTTGCTCCATGTGTTTCAGCAGAAGGACTTGAATGCAAGTATACAAATGAACGCAGTAAACTAATCGGAAATGAGAAGGGGATTAATTGTCTTCTGGTGTACGGTCTTGCAAGATCACCATCAGAAGGGCCAATCTAATCTAAATCTATGCTGATACTCATCAACGCCTGTTCAGCATCTGGATGAGGGCAGGGGCTTGAGGTGAACCATTACACCAGGGTAACCCCCTACTCGCATCGAAAGATGTGTGAGGTTCTTTTTAAAGTGCACATGAGCCATTGTGTACACTGGGCTTACGGTTTATAGTCCTTTCCGAGAAGACTTTCTCCACTACCAGAGCCATAGTCGAGCCGCTCGAACCAGCGCCGATATTATGGCTGTAGGTCGCGGGCCCCTGCCTTAACCTCTCGGCCATTCGACTCTTCTAAAACCAATCAAACCAATCCAATTTCATCACATGGCTGCAACTCATTACATCTTTCCTTGAATACAATTTGTGATTTTTATCAAAACGCTTCAGAAAATTGTGATACAGTGTACTGTATTTGAATATAGGCTTACCTGTACTTTCTATTTTACAAAGGATTCTTACTTTTGCTTAGTATTGTCTTTGGCAATTTAATATCTCAAGGGTAAATACCTTCTAGGATTGTAAAGCAAGCATCTAGATTCATATGAGCAGAACTACCCTGAGAGTTTAACCTGAGAAATTGCATTTCTTCTGATTCTATTCATTCTCCTTACAACAAATTTATTAAAAGGAGAAGTGATCGATATACGAAACTTAAGAAATAGATACATTAACAAACCGTTAGGCCATATACACTGGGTTATTACAAACATGAACGTCAAGATGACTTGAATAACTCATCAATTTTCACTAAATATTCATGAATACAAAAACATAAAGCGTAACAATGAAGTATTGACGTTTCAAAAAATCCTACGCAAGGATAATGGCAATGACACAGAACTCAAGTATGAAAAATCATTTACAATCTCAATCTTAATGAAAATTGTCTGAAAAGCCATGTCTTTCCGTCAATGTTTTTGTTATCTTTAGTTTCGTAAGCAAGTTAACAGAATAGTGGAAAACCTTAAGATTTGCATCGATACCGATTCTAACGCATGATAATTTCATCTATGGTATAGCTTTACGTGACCATACAATCCTATAAATTGCAAAATGTTGATAGTTTTGTGTATTGATCGACGTTTTCAACCACAACAAGTTGAGTAACTCTTATTGCTTTTGTTTATACGCTTATTACACTCCTCGATGAACATATCTTTCTATCTTTCTGCTTATTGTTCTAAACGGGCCTCGCTGGGAAAGACCCTAGAATTTTTTTTTTCTCGCCTTCCAATTCCATGGACCTAGGTTCAAATCCCGTCAGATCCCAGGATTTTTTCAAACCAACTCCACTCCAAATGTATCACTATGAGCATCACGTGTATGTTTGCGTCACGTGCAGGAATTTCCACATATGTAGTAGAACAGTTAAGGTTTATTGTTAATCCTTGGCCATGTGCATAAAGAAAGAAATAAAAAAAAGACTATCCATGGGTTGTTGTGGGTGGACTTTCAGAATAAATTCATCAGTAATCCCTTTTAGAAAGCTTTTCTGTTTGAAAGACGTATTTTATTATTATTATTATTATTATTATTATTATTATTATTATTATTATTCTGTTTGAAAGACGTATTTTATTATTATTATTATTATTATTATTATTATTATTATTATTATTATTATTATTCTGGAGTTGTGAATTAAACGCTTCCTTCAACATTCTGGAAAAGTTCCTAGTTTTAAAAGACGATCAGTGTAAAATAAAGCAAGTGGATGATTTGAACGCAAATTTCTTGATTTGCTCGAAATCAATGCCATTTGGATGGTATGATTTACTTATATGCTTATATCAAGAAGCTCTTCTAAAATTGTTCAATAACCAGCTTTTAAAAGGACTCCATGCTGGTCGCAACTCAACAGCGCCACCAAATTACAACTTTTTTGAGACATCCATCGAAGTCTACTTAAACATATTATTAGACGTTAAAAGAAAGTAAGGATGATGTGTAGACTTTTTATGCTTCCTTATCCTTAGCATGTGGCGCAGCGTGTAAGGTGTTGGATGGACTTCTGATCATGAGATCGACATCGGGAGTTCGAGACATGACGCCCGTCGCATTGCTTCTGTCCTTGGGCAAAGCAGTTTACTTACGTTGCCTCTCTCCACCTGGTAGGATGGTGTGGCATTGAATGTATTAGGTTGTGCCTGTAAAACAGGGTGATTTTGGGTACTCTCTAGGGCACAAGTGGACAAAGTGCGGCACGCCAGTGATTTTTTTGCGGCCCGCGAAAATAATTTACAAACACTATGTGTGCGGCCTGCCAACTGCCTTTTTTGGCTAGAAAACACGTTGTTTTTTGGCGGCCTGGCATCGATCATCTGTAAAAAGTAAAGTAAAACTGAGCATAAAGTGACAATAAAACAGTGTATGAAGGTTTTTGAAACATCAAAGTTTGGGTGAGGCCCTCGCTCGAAGTTGAATCAAATTTTCACTTACACATAAGAGAATTGAAAAATGCTAGTAAAAAAGAAACAGATTTATATTACATTGGCCTATACTGCGTAGGCCTGTATACAATGAAATATCGTTACATTTATTGTTGTTTAAACATCTTGAATAGCAAGATACATGATGAAAATCAAAGGCGATGCTACTGGTATGAAAGAGATAACTCAAATAAACCAAGTTAAGTCAACTCTCTCTCACCGTCGGTATTGGCTCAAATAACCAACAGCCCCGTTTAGATATCTCAGCCACAAAGGAAGAAGGAACATATTCCAGTATTTTACTTATATCATTTTCATTGGGTGCCTGAAAATGTCGATATCTGTTTTGGTGGAAAAACAATCATTGACGTGTTGCTTAATGTTAGGCCTATGAATCACGCAAGCCACTATGACATCGGTTTCGTGGTGACGGCAACAGTCCACAGAACAGTATATAAAATGAAATTTCAAAAAAACGTTCAGATTTACTTTTTATAGGTGGGAATTGTAAATAATTATTTGAATATTTAATAATTACTGTATATGTATTTTTAAAAAAAACCTATGTTTTTGTCATTGATTGATTTATTTTTGAACTTTTTGTTTTATATTTACTTCTCTCCTATTATGTATCTTTCTACGTACTGTATTTTGTTGTTTTGATTTTGTTTGTTGGTAATGTTTGTATTTTAGTCTTGGAGATATTTCGATATATATGTATTCTACACTTTTGGTTATCGTTGGGGGGTTTTTTGTTGTACCGTACTCGCGGGAATAAATTTCAACTTGAACAGAAAGAGAAAATGAAAATGGAGTAAATAAAAAACAAATAAATAAAAAGAGAGTAAAATCTGCCGAAGCTTGGCATCCGCCTAAAGCAACGCAGTGGAACACAGAACCCCTTCATTGATCTTATGTGACCTCAGCCCGTTTGCTCTCAAATAATAATGTATAAATTAAGTAAAATTTCTATGGAATTAAATAATCAAAATGAACATCATATTGTTTTATAGCCATTTATTCATTATACAGAACATTTTAAACCATGATGAAAGTATTGTATTTTGTATCTTAATACGAATTACAGTTAAATCTTAGAAACATGAATAACCGGGAACGGGATTGTACTTTAGACACTGTGTTGCAACAAGGAAAGTGTCTAGAGTTTGTATAAATGCCTGTGATTGCCAATATGTATAGGCCTACTGTACTACTAATATACTACACAATATAAATTAAACATCCATTGAGTGGGGGAGGGGGAGGCCAAAATCTTGGGGGCCTGCCCAAAATGGGGGGGGGGACGTTGATGACGCCACTGAAATGTATTCCTATACAAAATGTATTCCTTGTCTTAGAAAAATCAGTTTATGTCCTCTGGAGCCTGATTTAACAACGTAGGGTATAATTGCATAGGGGTGTTTGATATCTTTTGGTTCTTTAATTATGGTAGATTTATTCAACCTAGTATTATAGGTGTTTATTACCTAAAATAATCTTACAGGACCTCTTCTTGATCCGCTCAATGCATGCCGTATCCAATAATGTGCAAGTCCGAGTGGGGACAAGGTCTACAGGAGATACACCATTAGAGTTTAATGGCTCTTAAAATATATAATTTACTACTTGCCTTGACAATATTATAATCACTATGTAAATCCCATTTGAGAATAGCTTGAAGAATAACTACAAGTACTTTAACATTGTCAACTGTTTTTAAAAAGTGGCCATTCAGATCAATATATTGATGAAATAGTTACTTTTGCTAAAACTAATGTCCATAGTGCAACATTTATCTATTAAGTTTCAAAGCCTAATAATGTAGCACAGTCGCACAGTGCACACGATTGAAGTTCAGACGGATTCACAATTTTGCGATGCTCGATTAAAATCATCCAGGGAACAGTTAGAATAACCTAACCGTTCTCTGCATCATCGACATATTTAAATTGTTTCGAAGGATTATATTTCACATTAACTCACCGATTAACACAAATTAGGACAGTAGAACTCAGCCTAACACTTCCATGCATCTGAACAATTATAGATACCACAAGTAACATAAAGTTCACCACAGGATTCATGGTTGATTACAATGAAATGAAATACTTCAGTTTCAAAGGCAACGGATCAATAACCATGGTCCTCAGTCTACAGCAAACACACACACAAAACTCAATACGTTGACCAACATTAACCACATAGATCATAAAATGAAGATGATAACAGGCTTATGTTGTGTGATAGCTGTATTATATTTTATTATTTGCATAAATGATTAAAGCCAACAGATATGTCAGATCTAAGGCATTAAGAAAGCTGTTCAACCAACAATTTAGACAAGTTTCTGTTCAGTTCTCACTTACAATGCAATGAATGAACAAAAATCATTAGTTAGTCGGGTTTAGATATATTTTATAATAAAATAGATATTCCTTGCCTACATGACCTTACATGCCTCTCTCCATCGCTTATATCAGATATGTTCCGCTTAAAATCAAAATTTCATCGTAAGCTTTAAAGTTGAGCCGCTGATTTCATTTAAGCTCAATTCTACTAATTTATCTTATGTTGACATACATTATATTGGTGAAATTTATTAGTGCTATGCAACTCCTTATCATCAGAATTCCTACTGGTTGACGCACTATTATTGTGGTTGCGATATTTATATCAATCCTCATAAAATACAAAAGTATTATGTGTAAACAGCACATTAATGTAACAACGGCTACGTCGAGCTTCTTAAGAGAATCAATTATTATCCAACATAACATTCAGATCCAACATAGAAAGTCTACAAAGTTGATAAATAAACAAAATTGAACAAGAGTTGATTCGAATCCTTGACTTTCCGGTTGAGAGCCGAATTGTCGCTCCTTTTCGCCATTGCATATCATTATTAGAGAGCTTTCGATTGCACGACGACGGTAGGACGTAGAACGTAATTACGTCACTTAAAGTCATTTGCGCATGTGAGAACGTTAAGGTCGTCCTCGTCGAGTAGATTCTGGAACGCAATTTGGTAAATCTACGTATGTAGAGAACGTAGGACGCCAGGTAGGACGGTCACGCATGAGCGATTCCGTTCTAGCGTCGCGTCGTCGAACAAATCGAAAGCTCCCTACTATCAAACATAGTATACTTGTAAAATTATGATTGAATTATGTTCACACATAATTACGATTCCCTGATTAGTTGTATTGTAATTTTCTAATATAGTGAAATATATTATAGTTTTAAAGTTTAAGAATTCCACACAAGCGGTATATTCTTATCAAGATTAATTCTTTTGATAATTAATATAGGCCTAATATGCTATCAGCTGAGATATATATGAAGTTAATTAACAAACATTGTCATGGCTAATAAATCTAAAACAAACCATGTTTGATGTCTAAACAAATGTGACACTAAATTCTAATTACAATTCTTTTTCACTTTAGCTGACACAAAGAATTAAAACATATTAGGCAATTTTATCTATAAAATTAATTGTAATTATCGAAGAAAAAATGTCAAATAAATCTGTCACAGTATATTGAGTAATACATTCACGCTTGTCATTTTATACTGTTTTACTTTTGCTAAGTATTAAAATACTTAAAGATAATGACATGCTCTGCATCAGACTTATTCCAATCATGTGTTGTATTACCAAACATCGCGGAGGTATGTTGCCATTTTAGATATTGCAATCATAATCCCATAAAAAAACAAACATCACTGCAAGCACTTGCAACGAAGTGTTCACTTATGATGGTACTTTCCCGCCCTGGAATTAACGTAAGCTGTTTCTTCTTTTGTGTGCTGCAGATCTTGATAAGTATGGTTCTCATCACTGGTATGTGCTATGTATTTCATGTAAGTCTGTCAAAATATGCAAACGAATAATTTGAATTAAAAATCGATAGACTATCACCGTAGGCTTACAGAATCAAATTAGTTGGTTAATTGAAATGAATTGAAATTAAATGTAATGAATATATATATACTCAAGGCATTTTATAATTTGGTTTATTTATTTCATATAGTCAACATCAAAATATGAAAATTATCCTAACAAAGTCACACAAAATATTTAAAAAAAATCGTATAAAACAAATTTAGTAACACAACAACATAAACACTAGTCTAATCTATCAATAAATATTTACAATTGCAAAAAGCAGTTACCAAGGATATCACATCTAATCTAATTTTTAAGATAGGCCTATCATTAAAAGTAATAATATTTTTATAATAATAAGATACAATAAAATAAAACGACTTTTTTAATATTGTATGTATTATATGTACGTAATACATTTAGTAAAACATCAAATATTGTTAGATACTATTTTTGTAAATGTAGTAGGAGAGAATCTAAGAATGTGGGCAGAAGTGGAAAAAGATCATGGTAAATCAACTTAATTATTTTAAAACTATACATGTATCAAACATATTTAATTTTCATTATATAATCCTGTTTAAAAGTTGCAAGGTGAAATGCAAACTCACATCTTGCTTTCTGGTGTCCGTACTACGCATGGCTTCAGATTTCTTTTAAAAATACATTATAATAAAAAAATATTATTACAATAATTGCAAACAGATAAGGCAAGCCAAAACAGGGCTAGGTAAACCAAGGCAGGTTATGTTAGGACAGGGCAATTCAAGGCAGATGATATACATGTATCAAACATATTTAATTTTTATTATATAAGCTTGTTTAAAACAATTGAAATGTTGCAAGGTGAAATAATGTGTAAATGTGAAATGCAAACTCACATCTTGCTTTCTGGTGTCGGTACTACGCATGGTTTCAGATTTCTTTTAAAAATACAATATAATCAAAAATATTATTACAATAATTGCAAACAGATAAGGCAAGCCAAAGCAGGGCTAGGTAAACCAAGGCAGGTTATGTTAGGACAGGGCAATTTAAGGCAGATGATATACATGTATCAAACATATTTAATTTTTATTACATAAGCTTGTTTAAAACATTTAAATGTTGCAAGGTGAAATAATGTGAAATGCAAACTCACATCTTGCTTTCTGGTGTCGGTACTACGTATGGCTTCAGATTTCTTTTAAAAATACATTATAATAAAAAAAATATTATTACAATAATTGCAAACAGATAAGGCAAGCCAAAGCAGGGCTAGGCAAACCAAGGCAGGTTATGTTAGGATGGCAATTCAAGGCAGATGATATGGAGAAAAGTAGATATTGAGATGAGCTGAGTTGGAGACGGAGATAAAGAGATAGGTTGAAGACGAAATAAATACGAAGATCAGATGAAGATGACGATTGAGATAAAGATAAGATAGATATGAAGATGGAGATGATATGAGTCAAATATGACGGTGGAGGTAGGGATGAAAAGAAGATGAGATAAGATAAGATGAAATGAAATGAAATGAGATCAGACGCACTTTATCAATACTACAAACAATTGCAAACATGAAATTTGGTGTCCTTGATAATACAATTTAATATACAAAAACATTATTAAATAGAAATAACATACGCCTTAAAAAGTTAACATAACTTCATTAAACTGATACAAACTATCTATCATACATTACTAATCGATATTAAACCATAAACAAGATAGTTATTATTTGACAAACCTGTTTAATCCTAATGTAGCCGATCAATCCAGCAGCTAGTCCGAAGCAACCGACAAGGACGCCAACAAAAAACATTCCAATAGTCAGGGCTATACAACTAGATGGAACTGAATGAAATACAACCTTATATCATCACTTGATATAATTCAGGGGCGGATCCAGAAATTTTCAAACGGGAGGGGGGGGGGGCAACAGTTTTTAGAATAGGTAAGTGAGTAACACATAACACTGATAGATATTGAAATTTTACCAATTTAGTGTCAAAACTGGATCCGCCCCTGTAATTATAATAGCAACTACAGTACTAGTACGTTAAACCTGAATGTCATGTTTTAATAAATAGGTTAGCATATCTACTAATCTGAAAAGTCGAAAACTCTTGAAATGAATAAAACTAGAAAAAATTTTTAAAATAATGTTAAATAACACCTATACGTTTAAATTTGATACACAAATAATTAATCATTCAATATTTTAAAACTGTTATAGTTAATTCAGGTAGGCCTAACATGAAACAAGATATCACTTGAAATACAATTGATAACAAAATCAGCATAAATTTTCTAATATGAATTTTGTTGTAGAGTACATCGGCAGGGTACATTGTCAAGTTCGTCTGCCACCGAAGTCTAACTATCTATTGGTACGTGTGGGAAATAACGACGTAGTTCATTTTGCTTTAAGTATATCTACAAAATACTAAACACAAATCTCAAAGCCTTTTGTGGCCGAACAAAAATTACCTATGTTACATGTCTTCAGTGGTTCTGTTGTATTAACCTCACCGTTCTCAGCATAACACGTGAAGTTTGTTTTACAAAAATCTTCATTAATTTTCACAGATGCCGTAAGTTCCCCTTTTTCATTCTTTTCCCCATCTTTTTGTATCATTAAAGGAAACGTGATGAAGCCACACCATCATTTGATACAACATTTATAGTGTAATATGGTGTTGATATGATAACTTACGGTAATGTGGCCATGATTTAAATAATCAGTCGTCTTGATACCTAAGCGTGACAAATGCACCATACCGCAGCAACAAAAAAAAAAACGGTGAAAAAGAGGGATACGGCACCACTCTTTAAATATCAGTATTATCTTAAGGCTCCATGTACAACCACCAAGATATGATAGGCCTAGTGCCAGGTTGCTAAAAATAAGGCTTATCAATAAACTACAGAGGCAGTTGTGAAATACAGTTTGCCCTTAAACCAATGAAATTGATTGTTTATACTAGCTCTATGGATATTTTACTGCTTACGAACAAGTATACACATACCTGAACAAAAGATAACATACTGAAACTAAAACACTTAGGGAATGCATTGGATTATTAACCATAATGTGAAATAATTTGATTTTTTTGCTATTATAAACCATAATGTTGAATGACTGGTTGGAAAAGACCAGGAATAAACAAAGCGTGGATGATAGGTCTTATAAAGTATACAGTAAAATCAAAATATACACATACATATTACTTTCAAGTCAATTTGATTACTGGTTTTGCCATCTTTTCCTCTGAATTGATCACTTTCAGCTTTGCATGTATACCTGCCACCATCAGCTGCAGTTGCAGCTTCAATGTGTATTTCAAGTGCATCTTCACTTGCAGTAAATGTAGTGCTGTCTGTGATGCTGAGTGCTTGTCCATCTTTATACCATGTGATACTAGGGTGCGGGTCACCATCAGGCTTACTACAGGTCAAGGTCACTGGTTTACCTTCATAGACACTGCTTACTGAGGCAGAGAGTACAGGCGCATCAAGGTCTGATACAAATTATAGTACTCAAATAAATACTTTAAAACAAATACTGTACGAGTATAAGGTGTGATTTAATTGATAATAATTTAAAAACAAAAGTATATCAATCAAATGTATCACTTTGTTTACTATAATTTTCAATTTTACTGCTCCAAATTAACAATATGATTTGATTATATTTGGATCCGTAGAGCATTTCAATAATGTTTTCTTTTAAATTTTTTTTTTCTCAAAAACCAGCATACAATTTTGTTGCTTTATGCTTTGTAAACTGTAACAAGAGTAATACTACTATAATTCTGTCATTATCACAACAACAATTTTACTTTACAAATATCCAAATTACTTCTACAAGTCAGATTTTAACCAAACATATCAATCTGTTTCATCTACTTTATTGCAAAAGCACTGCCTTGAAAATCAACCTATCTCTTAACCATTAGCGCTTCTTTTGATTTTGATACAAACCCGTAACTCTGAAACTAGAGGTCAGATAAATTATGTAGAAACAGTTTATTATAGACGGTTATAAATACCGTATAGCTATTGCAAATAATTTACTATGTTTTAAAATATTTGGCCCCGCCATTTTTAGGTTGAATTTGTTACGAGTATTTTGCCGTGTTGGCTTTCCAATGATTTATTATGAATCGATGGCCTTCCATACTTGGCTGATTGCGTATATAACAGTGCAGCAGGTGGAAGTGGGTCTCTTCAGTGTTGGCTACTAGGGCGAAACGTGAAACGTTGGTGTAGCCTGGAAATCGTCTCATTGCGGCTAGTTCTGCTCATTGGAGGGTGAGATTGAACTGAAAGATACACCTCGTTGAATGAGATAGCCTGGAATTAGCAACAGATTGAGCAATTGCTAGAATTAGAATAATGTTTATTATGTTATATTATTATCATTACTTAATAATTAAGATTTTTACTATGTTTAACAGTATTATTTTAATTATTACAATACACTATATTATCTGTCTCTTATACACATCTAGATGTGTATAAGAGACAGGTGTGTGTGTGTGTGGGTGTGCGTGGGTGTGTGTGTGTGTGTGTGTGTGTGGGTGGGTGTGCTTTTGAGATATGTCCGTTTTTTATGGCAATTGTAGCGGTGAATAAAATAGAAAATAGAATTACAATATGGTATGAGCTCTGACAACAATTATCAATTCACAACCGTAACATATTTTTTATACAGTATAGTTAATAACACAAAACAAATATCAGTAATTTTAAAACAAATATGGTGATAAAAGAATTAGTTTATAAGTATTTTAATACAGTATATCAAAACAAAATAGTTCTTTAAAAATAGCTGTTCCTCAAAGCACAGGGATTCAAGAAATCAAGAAAAGAAAGTGTACAAGGTCATTCAGGTGAGAGACTGAGCTACTCTGGGCTATAAATTTTCATTAGTAGGAGGTTATTTGTCTATTATGGTTGCGTAATCCCCAATTCTGGGGGTCAAATACATCCATGCTCAAACCTCAAAACCAAACTATTTGTTAGTGCTTGTACATACATTGGAGTGTTTCTATATTCGTTAGTGCTTGTACATTCATTGGAGTGTTTCTATATTCGTTGGAGTGTTCCTATATTCGTTAGTGCTTGTACATTCGTTGGAGTGTTTCTATATTCGTTAGTGCTTGTACATTCGTTAGAGTGTTTCTATATTCGTTGGAGTGTTTCTATATTCGTTGGAGTGTTTCAATATTCATTGGAGTGCTTGTACATTCATTGGAGTGCCTGTGTATTCGTTGGTACTGTTTGTATAATCGTTGAAGTGTTCAAGGTTGCCCTTTTGGCGTTCCATAGTAGCGACGCGTATACAAGCCAAGCAGTCAGTCAAGCAAGGACTTGATAACATATCCTTAATGCTTTATGTTATGCTGTATGTCTATACGTTAGATGTACTTAAGAATTATTACTTTATAATTTATATGCGAAATTGTAGTAGCATTGCATGCCTGTAGGTGAAACTGTAGTATTCTTGGCACAGTACATCCATACATTTGATGCTTATACATTTGTATACATTTGAGAAACAAAGTCTCAATGTAGTATTGATCTTGATGCTGTGCATCCATACGTTAGATGCTCATTTGTTCATTTGTTTGAGAAATTAAACCTCAACATGGTAACTTACCTCGTATTGTATCTTTATTGTCGTATACACACAAAGTACATAGTGGTGGATGATTGATACCTGATCCTTTATATCGGATCCTAACTAACTTGTAACAGAATTATAGGCCATAATAATGTGTTATCTTGGGATTTGAGCTGGCTTACTTTTTTAGTTCTATCAAAAGCATTCACAATCAAAAACTGCCCGGGCTCAAAGCTGGCCAAGGGAATTGGCGTATTCCATTTTCTGAATGAAGAAATAATGGTACCTGCTGTATCAAAGCCTTGTTTCATTATAAATGAATGTGCTTGAAAGTGGACATCTTATTTCTACAGTGTTATGCATAAATTGGTAATGTATTTTTAATAGTGTTTCACTAATGATTGATCGTTTAAAGAAGTTTATTTTTATATACCCTTTTCGGATAATGAAATCGCCCAAACACTTCTCTTGCAGCAAGCAAATCTGTTTATATTTGTTTTTCTTACACACGCCCAGTATTAAAAATGTTTTGTTATGTGGTCAAAATGGCCCACACCAATTGATATGATTGATTTGATGACTTCAAATATGGAAATAGCTGATCTGAATGAATTTACTTTCTACTATTGAAGTGATAAATACATATATTTTGAATCTACTTGGTATTTATTTGCTCGATTACAGTACGATTTTTAAATTTGTGAACAACTTTTACAGAAATGTAATCAATACAGAATGTAAATGTTGAGATATAATCTGAAATACTTACAATATACGGTGAGGATGGAAAGATCCAAATTTATGGACTCCCAGCTTGCTGTCAGTATCTGTTTGGCATTAAAAATACTGCCTAATAGGCAGCTATGGATGAGGTGTAGTATGTAGGCGATGTAAATTAAAGAATTTGTGAAATCAAGCTTCTACTGCTTGAAAACACCAATTAAAACAATCTCCGAACAGAAACAGACACAACAAAATGTAGCAGTATACACCTCTTGGCTTCTACATAAACATTTTCCTCAAAGAGCATGTCATCTGACCCTGAACAAAGTTTATATCCCATAATCATTCCCTTTAAAAACATAAATCTCTCTCTGGTTCAGTATGATTTTATGGATTTATGAACTAAAAATTTTGAATATATGGCTCCAAAAAGAAAATAAATAAAACTGACAGGTTCAATATTCTTTATTAAGTTGTCTTTGTACTTCTTATTTCTACTTTTATAATTAACGTCTGTTCATAACAAAACTAGTATCAATATAGCTATAATGAAATTGAAACAAAATGAAAACATGTGATGTATTGCCTTCCTTGTGAAATGAAAATAGAAACCAAAAGCATATAGCAAGTAAGCATTGCAATAAAAAATGTTAACCAAATGTTGTCAATGATACCACAAAGCCAATTCTCTATTCTATTCTATTCCATACATCTCTATTCATACATCAATGCAGTCTTAACTGGTACCATGCTCTTTACAGGGGATTACTGAAGAGAATTTGTTTTTAAAAAAATATGTTAATTGCTTTATTATTATTGTTATTTTCATGCATTAAAGTTGTAGTAACACAAACCATAAATAATGCATTTCTGTTAAATTACTTTTCTTCACTTTATTTTTACCATTTTTAATCTTATTGTCTTTTACATCAACCTTGCTGCTATCTGAAAATTTCAATAAAATATTTTTAAATATTTCATTTTGGCAATTTCTTCATATAAATTATTTCCATTGTGTTGGAACTCCTGTTTGTTTTAACATTTATACCAGTCTATGACAGGAAAGAATAATGCACCCTATAATTCTTCATGTTGTAGCAATACTTTGGTTTTACAGGGTATGCCCGAGATTAATTGGTTTTTGAGCCGAGCGGAGCAAAGTTCTGCGCAAACAGGTAGACCACTTGTTTTGAAAGTTAAACTGATTACCAACATGTACTAACAATTTGGACACTATATTAAGTCTGGACCATAAATATCTCACTATTTATTTGTTTACATTAGCATAGAGCAGTACTGATTTACATTCACAAAATCGCAATTATCTCAGCTTCATTATGCAAAATTGCATAAATCTCCAAAAGTGAGTCATTTTCATTTTACTGTTACGAGTCACAGATTTTGATTAGAATAAAGTGTTTGGTACCATTGAAAAGCTAAAATGTTTGTAGTCCTTCCAGCATTCCCTACATGTCAATCTGATCACATACACACTCTCAACAAGCTACGGACAATTTCTGAAAAGTCTGGCTGTAGCTGATACTATTTTTTAAACCCCTGGGGTGAGAGTGTTAAAGAGACAGAGTACTGACCACGGCTGCACAGCATGTAACACAAGAGGAACATGAATTGTACAGTACCTCCATGATGAAAACCAACACCTGCTGTGATTGTGTGGCTAGTAACCAGACAGCCAAACACATTGTGGAAGAGTGCCCAAGGAGAGAACTTGATGGTGGAATTACTCGACTGGCATACTGTGACCCTACAGCGAGTTCATGGTCATTTGACATTTTTATGCTATATGCTTAGGTGGCAGCAATGTTCATTGAGAAGGACATGAAATACTCAGTGGCAGATCTATGAATTTATAAAAAAGAGGGGCCCTAGGGACATTTACAGATGGAAGGTGTAGACCACCTCAGGCCCACTATGGTTGGGGCTGAAGTACAAAATTTTATGGCTACAGTAACTCTAGATGGTCAGAAATGGCACTGTCAGACTTAAATTTTGATACTTTTCAAAATTCAGGAGGACCCCGCCCCCCACAACCCTTTGAAATTGCCAATGATTTCTTTTTCTGCCTATATGTATTTTTCTTAATAACAGTTTTACTACGTATTCGGGTTGTGATGTGCAATTCATGGTACCACTAGGTCTGTGAGTGTATAATTATGTTACTATGTTTTTAAAGTACCAGACGTGCTACTTGGAGAAATACCTTGGTCTGAAGGAGGATACCAATTTGCCTTTTGTAATGTATCACTGCTTGGTGTGTCCCAATCAAGAAAACACACAATTCGATATACAGGGTATTGCTAAACCCTGCAAACCCCACAAACCACTAAAAGACACTGCAAACCCCATCCAAACCTTGTGATAGTGATTGAATAATGTAGTATATGACTCAACTTTGTATCTTAAGTCAATAAAAATATAATTTTATGTTCATAACAACCTATTTTGGGGTAGAATCTTGATTTTTTGTTAAAAATACCACAAACTTCCAAAAACACACTGCAAACCCAATCCAAACCTTGTGACAGTGATTGAATCATGTAGTATAGGATTCACTAGGTATCTCAGTCAAAAAAATTATAATTTTATGTTTGTAAATAACCTACTTTTTGGGTAAAAATGCCATTTTTTGTATGAATCTTGATATAATCCTTAGTTAGTTTTATCAGTTTTGTGTAACTGGACCATGTAAGACAGGGTTTAATATCCAACTAATACTAACCTTTATTCATCCCAATATAATTTTTGTTAAACAAATAATAAACAATGAAATTATAAAGTTATAGTGCTAATTTAATCGAAACATGCACATCAAGCAAATATAAACCATTTAATGTATTCAAAGTTTATCAGATACATCCATGTTGCCATGATACTGAAAAAAAAATACCCTCACTTGTTACTTAATATCATAATTAAAATTTATAATGCCAATGCAAATAGATATACACTATTCATTGGATAAAAAGATATAGAAATTACAAAATATTGCTGGTTATATTTTATACTGTTACCATAATTAGATGCATTTTGGTTAATTTAGCTAAAATTCATGGTCTGGTATTAAATTTCCAAAGCTTAAAATATTGCCTTTTAACATCAGATAAGTTAAATCTTGGTATATAAAGCAGCATAAACAGAATTAATTTTAAATTACCTTTACAGGTCTTCAGTGGTTCTGTTGCATTAACTTTTCCATTCTCTGCATAGCATGTGATGTTTGATTTACAAATCTCTTCGTAAATTTTCACGGATGTAGTAAGTGTCCCATTCTCAATCATTTTTCCATCTTTGTAAATCATTACAGAAGATGGTTCGGGATAACCCTCTGCAGTGCATGTTGCAGCGCCATCTTTTGATTCAAATGTAATTTTAAGATCTATTTTAATTGACAAAGAAATCAGGTTTGGTTAATATGGGAAACTTTTTTCAAGTTTTTTTTAATACATTATAAAAAATAACTAGCAACTTCTTACCTGAAAATGTGTCCTTATTGTGATAGAGGAAACGTAATGAAGCCACACGTTCATTTGATACAGCAACATTTATGGTGTTGATTCGATAACTGTACTCTAATAAATGGTAAGGTGCCCATTGACATGATCAGTGGACATGATATTTGTGCGTGCCAAATACACCACAATGAGTAAAAAACGATTAGCACCACTTTCGTGAAAAAGAGGTGCTCATAACTGATTATTTTTCAATACACTTGAACTGAAAATTTAAATCACAGACATTTAACAGATAAAAGAAAATATTAAAATTAAAATATACACATACATATAACTTTTAAGTCAATTTGATTACTGGTTTTTCCATCTTCTCCTCTGAATGGATCACTTTCAGCTTTACACATATACAGGCCACCATCAGCTGCATTTGTAGCTTCAATGTGTATTTCAAGTGCCCCTTCACTTGTAGTAAATCTAGTGCTGTCTGTGGTGCTGAGTGCTTGTCCATCTTTATACCATGTGATACTAGGGTGCGGGTCACCATCAGGTTTACAGGTCAAGGTCACTGGTTTACCTTCATAGACACTGCTTGCTGAGGCAGACAGTACAGGCTCATCTAGGTCTGATAAAAATTATATTACTCAAATAAATACTTAAAACATATACTGTACAAGTATAAGGTTACACTTAAATCATGATTTCGTGGCTTAGTAATTTAATTGATATGAATTTAAAAACAAAAATAGATCTATCAAATGTATCACTTTGTTTACTATAATTTCCAATTTTACTGGTCCAAATTAACAATATGTTTTGATTATATCGGTGGATCCGCAGAGCATTTCAATTAACTTTAAATTTTTTATCCAACTGACTTTCAAAAATCAGATTTTAACCAATTGATTGATTGTTTAAAAAAGTTCATTTTTATATACCCTTTTTGGATAATGAAATCGCCCAAACATTGCACTGTGCAGCATGCTCAATTTGTTCATATATGTTTTTCTTACACACGCCCAGTATTAAAAATGTTTTGGGTTATGTGGTCAAAATGGCCCAAACCAATTGATATAATTGATTTGATGACTTCAAATATGGAAATAACTGATCTGAATGAATTTATTTTCTACTATTGATGTGATGAATACATCTATTTTGAATCTACTTGGTATTCAGTTATTTTGCTCAATTACAGTACAATTTTAAAATTTGTGAACAACTTTACCAAAATGTAATAAATACAGAATGTAAATGTTGAGATATAATCTGCAATACTTACAATATACAGTGAGGATGGAAAGATTTGAATTTATGGACTCCCCGCTTTTTGTCAGTATCTGACATTGAAACCTTTTCTGAGTATCACTCCTAACTGGCTTTGTAATAACCAGGTCAGCATTCCCAGGAGTTGTTCTTAAGCTGTAACGTCCATTTACAGTGTCTTTATTATTTACAATAATAGCTTCTCCAGTGTCATTTACTTCCTTCCATATAATAGCCAAAGGTGTATTAGTAACTTGTGAATAGTTGCACGGTATCACCACTACACTATTACCTTCTTTGGCCACTTCATTAAATGTTACAACTGACTGGCTATATACTTAAAAAAAACACACAAAAACACTTTCATTATTATAATTATGTAATTGTAATTAAGGATATAACTTGCTACAGCACAATATGTTAAACTTAAACAAAAAGAAAGAATTACTGTACAGTAAATATCAAACATCAAGTTTTTAACTTTTTTTGTGAATAAATAATATCAAAACTTACTTCTTTACATTAATAAAGATTTAGTTGTATTCCACATTGAGATGTATTTTCTTATAATTTATGGAAATTTTGGTCTTGGAAAAACTATGATCATCACAAATTTGAATTCTTAAAATTTATCTACTTGGTATGGATTTACTTACTGACTTTATAGAATTGCTTCAGTTGTATTACAAATGAAAAATGTGACACCAAAATCGACCAATGACTAGCGTCCGAATTACCCAGTCGCATCGTAAAATGCGACAAATGCATCACAATAAAATGTGATACAATTATTTGCCTATAAATACCCGGTCAGTCTTCAGCAAGGCCTGGCTGTCAAAACTCCGTATAAATCAATCCGATGTATAAGCCGCGAATTTTGCATGCGATTTTTCCACCGAAATTAGGGATGCGGTCTATACACGAGTCATAACCTGCTCTAAAAAAATTGTAGATCGCGAAGGTTAGGCCTAGGCTAGCCCAATTCATATTAACAGTATTAGCTTAGGGTAGGACCGGTTTGTAGGCCTACTGTAGTATTTACTGTATTTGTAATACTCACCACAGTGCTGTACTAGGATTCCTACTACATTTTCAACGACATTCAAGCAATGGTTTGGGTTGTTTAAATAATTAATTTCATACTACGTTCACTCATAAACAATTTTGGAACACACCTTTTCTGTTTGAACCCGCTTCGATCAAAACAATAACAAACTATTTTTTGGCAGTTCGGTCCGTGAAGTCACGTGTGAGTTTCATTTACGATGTTGCAACAAAACACTCGTGTGGTTGCTGGTGGCTAGTACCATTATGGAAAATACTGCTGTTGTTTTATGCAGTGTTATGATTTTAGAATAAAAATGAATGAAATAATTGTATTCTAAAGTTGTAACAATTTATTTTACTAAAATTTAACTGTAGAAAGGCATACGTCATCTGCCTGCTTAAACTTTGTATCGCATGAATTTTCTCCAGTTCTGTTTTTGTTTATAAAACGTGGTTCGTGATTCTGCATGCTTCGCCCAGTGGGCTGTGAGTAGTAATGACTTAGGCTTAGAATTACCATTATTTTAGCTCAATATCCAGGCCCGTATCCAGGGGGGTTTTTTATGGTTCGGGAGAACCCCACTCTTCTAGCAAATCCCCCCCCCCTTTTTTTTTTTATGGCAAATCCCCCTCTTCAAATTTTATTCCTGAGCAATCCCCCAGGATAAACAATAAAGAAAGAAAGAAAAATCCTCCAATTTCTTTTTTATTCATTATTTTATATATATATATATATATATATATATATAATAATATATTCATATTATTCATATTTTATTATTATTCATTACCACCGCAGAAAAAATGCTATACACAATTTTGGAATTGCTACACAAAACAAAAAGTGCATAGCAGTTTTTGCCACTCACAAAAAGTGCTGGAAATCTAACGCTGCCAATGACCATGTCAATTTAAGGAGTCACCTTTATTCAATATCATACAAATTTTACAAAACCTTGTTGGCCATAAAGGGCCTACAATGACATTAAAGTGAAAAGGCCATACAAAATAAGATGCTGGCAATATTTCATGTTCTTGTCATGAGTATGAATACTTGATAAACAGGAAATTTATTATATGAATAATATATGATAGCGAAAGAAATATGTTAAATAATATGCAATCTCTACAGAGTTGCCTCAACCATGGAGGAAATATATTAATATTTTAATATATATAATCTTAATATATTTCCTCCATGCCTCAACTTACCATTAGGTACACTCAGCAACAGAAGTAAAACCAAATACAGTAAGAACTGGAATAGATGCTGAATATAAACAAGAAATAATATACAAATTTACACTACAATATTATTATTTAATTTTTTAAATTTCTTCATGTTATTATTCTCCTTTTAGTGTTTGATGTCTATTCTTAAGACTATTTTTTGGCCGGCTTTGAGCATGTAATTGTGTTATTGTAAATGTTTTTTTTTTTAACTTAAAACTTATACAGACAATGTTCTTGAATCTTTAGTTACATAGACAATATTTTACAGTTGTTGAGGCAGTGAGGACAGGCTTGTCTAGATCTGAAAATTTATAGAAATTAATACTTTGTATGATAAACAAATAAAGGAAAAAGTATTGCTATTGATCTAACTGGCCGGGCTTGTTTTTAATAAATTGGTGAATAATTTGCTAAACATTATTCAACTCTCTCTATATATACCGGACATTTATATGCTAAAATATAAAAACATTTACTTTTCCTGCAGTCAAACTAGAGTTTACTCATGTGACTAACATACTTTACTTTCATGCCCCAAGGCTTCAATAAGCCTGCAGCCCTTTTAATATATTAAAAACATAAATACAAATTAAGTGACGGTTTCTAAATAAGTATCACTGCAGTACACATGTTTTAGTAAATTATTGGGGGAAAATCACGTTTTTGATGACATTAATTGAAAGAACTAAAATACATTGAATTGATGATTATAGTTGACTCCTCTAGCCTTATGATAACAATGTTTAAAACACAATAAATTATGCTTTCATTAATAAATATTTAATAAACAAACAAATACATACTCAAGGTTATGCAAGTCGGAACATTTACAGTCATGTTAACTGATACTGTATAAATATTGTTTATGTTGCTCTAAATTAAATGGTGTCCCTGCTCTGATAAAAAAAAAAACAAAAAAAAACCAACATACAATGTTGATTTGTACTTTGTAAAATATTGCTACTAATATATTATTTTGCCCTAGTAAAATTTAAAATAAATTAAAAAGTGGAGTTATTGATTTTTATTTGTTTTCTATTATTTCAGGTTCTGGGTTCAAATCCCAGGATTTGCTTCGTACTACAATCTCACTTTTAAAATATTCTGTGTAGAACAAATAAAGTTAAAAAATGGAAAATCTGAATTTCGTTTAATAGATTTATGTACTCCAGTTATAACGTACAGTTTGCTTTCCAATTGAAAATTCAGTTGTAAATATTTTATTACTTTTACGATCACCTCTCGCCAATAATTAGTCATTGGTTTTACGGGTTTGTTTGTCCTTTTATAACGTTTGTCCAAAAAAATAATTTCATGGATTGATATTTAGTAAATACAACTTAATAATTTACTATTTTTTAACTGTTAAACATTTTTACGTATACTCAATACAGGATGCAAACACTGCCGTACTTACAATATACAGCAAGGATGAAAGGGTCTGAAAATATTAAAATTTCCGCTTTGTGTCAGTATCTGACATTGAAATCTTCTATTAGCATAATTCCTTACTGGCTTAGCGATAACCAGGTCAGCATTTCCAGGAGTTCTTCCTAAGCTGTAGCGTCCATTGACAGTCTTTGCATTACTTACAGTACAAAATATAATTTCTCCTACTTCAATTACTTCATTCCATATGATAGACAAAGGTGTATTAGAAACTTGTGAATAATCATATGGTACGTATCACTACTTCATCGTCACCTAAGCCTTCTTGGGCCACCTGTTTAGATGTTGTCACAGATTGGCAACGTTTCACTAAAACCATGCATATACATTTTGTTGTTGTAGTCTTTGTTGTAAATTATAAATTGAACATAATATGTTTAAATTATATTTTTTCAGTCGCTAGTCATAATAAGTCAATCGTGACGTCATCACTGCGACCCCCAATGTTATTTGCTATTCCCCACCGTCCAATAATTTTTGAGTGGCTACTGAAAGTAGCTACTATGTCATCGAATGGTTTACCGAGGTAAGTGACTGTGAATCTCGGTACCAGTCGACACCTTTGATCACGAGCCGAATACCAATCAACGCTCGTAATTAATCTGGCGAATATTTCCGATAAAATGCTGGAGGTTACGAATGCAGGAGGTTACGAATGTTACGAAAATTACTCGACACTCAGCGGATCATTTTAGTTTTATGTTATGTTAGGTACCTGCCTCCACATTTTTTATGTGCGATGCCAAACAAAAGTTCCGGTAAGTTCTGTGTAGGTAGACCATGTTTGATTTTATTGAATTTGACAATTTTAGGCCTAAACTAGGTGAGCTACTGATTTCCATTAATAGTGTGGCATTAGATACTATTATTAATTATTGTTATTGTTACGCTAAATGAAAATTTGTTTTGACGTTTCATTTCGAGTCTTTTCATAGAATATAATGAACATTGTGATAAGACAAAAAAACTAATGGGCGGAGTAAGAATAGACATAATTAACAGATAAATAATTATTAATTAGGAACATATTTTTGTTTATTAGCTATTTATCATGTTGAAGGGGTTTTAATCTAAGCGGCTCCTTTATTTTATGTCATTGTTTATTACCATTATTGTTATTGCCGACGGAGATCTGTGTTCCCATACTGATATTAGCCTCATTCTAATTACAGTTCCCAATTAATTTATCTGTTAATTATTTCTATTCTTACTCCGCCCCTTAGTTTTTTGTCCTATCACCATGTTCATTATATTCTATTAAAATGTCGACCAATCATATTATACTTTACTTTTTATCATAATTATTGTAATCAAATTAATTTTCATTATGAAACAGGCAGCAAAATTGTAAACCAATAATACTGCAATTGTGCCCTTAAGGTATGTAAATCTTTATTTAAAAAAAATCTATAGTCATTTTCATATTTTACTAATTATTCACCATCAATAATTAATTTTGCATTTTATACTTTATCATTTCAGGTTAATGAACTGAAAAATATGAGAAAAAAAGACATGGGAAGCCTACATTCATAATGTAGGCTACTATCTCCAGTTGAAAAAACAAACACAAATCAGTACTTCAAATCACACTGAATTCCAGAACTAGTGAAAACCAAAGCCCAGTGAAGCTGAGCGATTTCGGTACAAATATTCTTATAAACTCAAAAGTTAAAATAAGGCAGTTGGAAGAGATACCATTCCAAATTTAGGAATTTATCAACCCAAAACAATTCTTTGCTTTCAAGTGTAAGCAACACTCAACTCGTAACCATAAAACCTAAGGTTATACAGCTTTCAGGAACCAAAACCGTGGAGATCTTTAGGTCCCCGGTTCAATTCCCATCGCTGCCTCTCCTTGTGTTTCAGCTGGAGGGCTGAAATACAAGTTACAATAGCGCACCGTCTTTAGGATGAGACGTTTAAGCCGTTGGTCCCGTGTGCATTATGGCCCATGTGCATGTTAAAGAATTGAACGCAGTACACTCTACGGAAAAGAGTAGGGGATTGTCTCCCGGTGTACTGCCCAATCACCACCAGAAGGACCCCACTGGAAATAAGTTTTCTTCTAGACATGGGCTATCCTTGGTGTTTACCGAATACATCCAATCCAATCCAAAGTTCAACCCAAGAAATGGGGTATGCTGATTGATCCATCGTGTTCAGTACAGACAACTTTTTAGGAAAATTTTATTCACAGAATTAAACACCCAGACTGCAGGCGAAAAATGTTTGAAATGTTCAATCATTTGCAAGTGATAAAAAGTTTTAAAAAATACGTTTTCTGTAATAAACCGATTTATAATTAAAATAAAAGCCTTTATTGCTATCTTGTTACAAAATCATGGATTCAGATTATATAGTTTTTCATTACCCTAAATGCGAAAAAGCGCCGCGTCGTGGCATTTCAGAGTATATTATTACCTGTGTGTAATTAAGCAATTTGGGTTCTAAATACAATGTATACAGTGTTAAGATGAATAAATAACACAATGAATAGACAAGTATTTCTTTTTTTTGTATTAAAGTGTTTATTTACTATGACATTGGACCTATGATAGGCCTATTGTACTACGGGAATGTGAGATATGTAACATGGGAACGGGCATGAAAAGCGCCACACCAGTACAGTACAGGTATTTCTTTTTATGAGCGCCGCTCTTGAATAAGCACCGCACTGAAGCCTCCAAATGTTATAAGCACCACAGTGCTTATTCAAGCATTTACAGAATAAAGACATTTTTTTATTCCTAAATAAAAAGAAGTGTTAAAAATTGTATTTGTATATTTTATTATTTAGTTGACATTTACTATTTAGTTGAAAACTGTATACATGACTTTCCTCATATTCACTGTAATTAATGTTAATATTTTTGATAATTAAAATTGATTTATTTTAAAACAAATGAAAATGTTTCTTTCACCACCCTGAAGCAGACCTGGCATCTCCTTATTCGTTTGAACTTAAAACAACACTAACAAATGGAATACATTAAAACATACCATACAAACAGAAAATTTTTCATACCGCGAAGACATCGTGCACCACGATAAAAATTGAATTGTAATTTAAAATTACTTTCGTAAAACAAGCTTACTTAGAACCCGAAGAAAGTTACTTCAAATTCAATATTAAAGCCCCATTCCCGGCAAAATTTCAGTTGTTAAGAAAAATCTAATTTTTGTATAATGTTATAAAGATTTATAAATATAATACGGAATTGCTAGTTTAACTAAATTTTGACATTCCTAAGCATGAAAAAAAATGTAAAATAAGACTGAAATTAGATTTTTTGTGTGCCACACAAAAAATAAATGCGGATAAATTTTTCATGTTTGATTTTGCGATAGGTCGTGCGAAGAAATATAGCAGGCGCCGAAAACATTAGCCTATCCAACACTGCTAGGATAGGCCTAGCCTTACCTCGATTTAGGTTCTGTTATCACACATAAAAACGGTAGACACTAACAATACACTTGGAGTCAGAGATATATTAAAATAGGTGTTTATTCGATTGTGTCTTGGAGTCAACTGACTGATGATAGTGAACGTGATTGGTCACTGGGTATGGCCTGATAATTCTATTTATAACTGGGTCAGTTTAGGGGTGTACTTTCAAGGTACTTTAAAGTAGGTTATAATGCAACATCTTCCCCTTTTAGATTAAGTGAAAGAGATTTTTTCCGTGACCGTCGTTTCGCTACATTATTTACACTTCTACAGTTTTGGTTATATGCGTAGCCATTATATATCGTATATACTAATAGTTCAGCTTCAATTCTTTTTATAAGAGATCATATTGGCATCATGCCGCATGCATGCAATTTATATACATTTGGATAGGAGTGTAAGAGCAATTGTTCATAGTTCATTTTATACTGCTCATAAAGTCAGTTATTTAGTGACATAGTCCTGTAGTTTGATGGGTGGTTTGCACATCCGTTTTGGTCGGTCGTGGATAGCTAATAGTGGCCTATCCTTAGCATAGCCTGGGTGCAGTAGGAAATTAGCGGGAAAAAAGTAAAGGAAAATTTATTTTTGGTTTTTCTGAATCAGTATATCATATAGTGTCTCAGAAAAAAAAATCCCCATTCTTAGAGCTTTGGCAATTTTTTTTATAGCACTTTAAAATTTTGACATAAAATATCCTATTTTGGGCTAATTAAGATGGGGGTAGGGGAAATAAATGTATGTTTTTAGTCACTTTTACATATGCTATGTATATCAAATGTAACAAGAACTTGGCTAAAAAGTTACTCCTCACTCTCGTTAAAAAATTTAATCGGAATATTGACGACGTCACAAAGAATTCCAAGATGGCTGCCATTTTGGCGGTAAAACTCTTTTAAAATGTAAATTTAACTTTATTGTTATCAGAGCAATTTCAAAACAATATATATCCATACACACACACACAAACACAAACACACACATATATATATATATATACATATATATATACATATATATATATATATATACTGTATATATA